TGCCAGCTACAGCCTCCTGGGAAATGCCTCTTTTCCAAAACTATACTCAAATTCACTTCCTCTGTGAATCTGCCTGGACTTGGAGGGACTCCTTCCACAGTTAATTTATTTCACTGTTAGTATCTTCTTCCTTCTCTAGATGGTTTGATACAGACTCTTCACCCAAACAGTGAACACCTACAGGGTGTTCTGTCTCAGCCAACCAGTGTGGTGTCAGCACAAGCCTCCGAGTCTCATCTGGGTGGCCCCAGGTACCCACCACACCCATTGTGTTCTCATCTTTGAAATGGGAAGGCAGACCTCAGAGTACATAAATAATAAATTAGAAAATGGACAGAATACACACAGAACCTTGCAAATGTTTACTAATGAAATGGGGCATCACCGCACACCACAGTGATCTTGGCAGCGAGGCAGGCCCTGAAAGGCCAACAGACCTGGAGGACCTGGCTGTTCTCACACAAGCCAACAGGACACACAGCATGAGGGTCTCACAGCAAAGGGATGAGGTACCCCTTAGGCTGACAACTCCCCCAAAACTGCTATCATTTTAACACCATGGACAAGAATATGGTTTCATAGCATGGGCAGAGAGCACTGCTATCCTCCCTCAAACGATGGGGGCAAGGGGAATCTCTAACAACTCAAGAGATGCTGTTACAGTGATGGCAGTATGGCAATAGACAGGATAGTTGTTATTAGCTTGACAACAGTATGACTCCTCAAAGGAAACATTCTTACAAATAAATGTACAAAGTTTGGTGATATTTACTACCAACTAATTTTTCCTAACCTGTTCAGAGACTTTAACTCTATAACTGTCTGAATTAAAAACTTTTATTTTTCAGAATTGGTCAGCTCATTTTAAACACTTTTCTCTGGTGAATCAAAACAAGTCCAACTGCTAAAGATTCCTATTCTCCTAAAGACAAATGTTAATTCAACTCTAAAAAATACCTAAACCCAAATATGTATTATATCTGGTGTTCTCTCCCTCAAATTTGTAAAACTCACCTATATCTAAATATCATGTCAAGCTATTCTTAGCGCTTATTTTTTAGGTTTCACAAGGATGAGCAATTTATAATCTCTTCCTCCAATGATCTCTAATTCATCTCTATTTCAAAATCTTTTCCCTGATGTTAGAATTTGTCCAAGCTAAGTATTTCTTAGTCCTCCTTGAAATTACATAAACTCAAGTCCCTCTCTCTCCACTTACTTTTGGGGATACACTGTCCTGTGTATGTCTTTACTGACTGTAGGCCAAGGAGACAACCCACTTGATCCACAGGTTAGATCTGTAAGTCTGCATAATGATAGTGAGAAAATCTGTGTTTCTCTGTGGAAAGACCTTACACAGTGGGTCCCACTCCCTTGTTACTATTAGCCCACCTGACTGTAGGAAAAACTCTCATCAATAAAATCAAACAGTAGGGCCGCCCTGGTGGCACAAGGGGTTGAGCACAATACTATTAAGAATTCCTCAGCCTCTGCAGCACAAGTTCCATCCCCCAGCCATCCAGGGAGCAGCCCACATGACGCAGCAAACCTCTCCTGTCGCGACTGCTGCTCCCCTCAGCAGTATGTTTCAGTCAGTCAGCCTGTTCTACTTCCCACTCTGTCTCTGGTGAATCCTCCTCTCACCCCTCCACCCCCCACACCTCTGGCCTGTACGCCAGCTCTTCCATGCATAAATAAATAAATCTTTTTAAAAAAAGAGTATTATTTGCAAGGTAAGGGAAAAAATATTCTGGATATATAAATTTAAAAAAAAATAAAATAAAATCAAACAGTAGTGCTTTTAGCTGGGTTCCAATGCTGAATGTGAGAACTAAAGATAAAACATGTTTCTATTACAAAGGAATAAAAAGGCCATTATGACTAAAAAAACACTTTACAAATCCTAAAATCATCAAAACAAGGGAAGTCATATATCTATCACCAGAGAGGATGACAACAGTTCATCTTATCCCAAAGATCACTGCTGAATTATCTAATCACTATCAAAGCCAGAACAACACAGAATCTACTACGGTAAGTTCTGAAGTGTATAAAGAATAAGAACTTATAATCTCTTCCTCCTAGGATCCCTAATTCACCTCTATTTTAAAGTTCTGAAGTGTTACCATTTAATCCAATTTAACACATGAATACGTGTGTGTTTGTTTGGCTTTATCATTTGTTACCTTATGCCTGTGTCTGCGAAGCTAAATGTTTCCAAATACAGAGGGATAATTTACATAAGGAAACTGAAGAAGATGTTGAAGCCAAAAAGAGTAGAGACATATCAAGTTTAATAGAATGATAGTAAAACAAGGTCATGTATTTGAAAGCATGTGCCCTTTTCATATATTACAAATTATATGTACAATATAAATTACACTTGCATTTTGAAAACACCTAAGAACAGCAAGAAGAACTGAATATATATATATATATATATATATAAGTTAAAATACTGTTATTTTAAACAGGGTAAAATAGCAACTTTGCAGTGGAGAAATCTGGTAAACACCTCCTTACCCAAAAGATCCAAGTTATCACCACACTAGTGGGACTATGTGATGCAATGTACCAGAATTACATGCATGGTATTCCCTCCCAAAGCACACAACCTAAATCTAATCACAAGCAACTGGACAAACGCAAATCATGGGACAGTCTAAAAAAATAACTGATCCTTGTCCCCTTCAAAAAATATCAAAGTAAAGAAAAAAGAGAGACTGATGGACTGTCCCAAATTTTAAAAAGACAAGGCAATTAAAGGCAATGTGGACTACGGTATGGAGCCCAGTTGAGGAGACCAGTGTCTGGAGAGACTAAGACTTTGCTTTAAATCACCAGCCACTTAAAATGCAACATGAAGGAAAAGGAAGCAGAACAATACAACAGAGTAATGGGGAGATGTTTTGGCTGGAGTGGCCTAAGGAAGTGCCATCTGAGCTAAGATGGTAGTGCAGGAGGGGACAGGCCATGTGGACATCTCAAGATGGGAATGAGGGGAGAGAGTGGCACCACTCATCAGAGTCCACACCCTGATGAAGACATCTGAGTGAGAGGGAGCGTAGGTGTGCACCGTGACTTAGTTCTAACAGGGACTGCCCTGGTTAACAAATAGAAAGTTGTCATTTGAGGAGCCAGAACAGAAACAGATAAGCCAGAGGCCTGCAACAGTGTAGCAAAGACGGTGGTGCTGGTTGGGTCAGCACAGCAGCCATTGAAAGAGAAGTATGTTGTCAGAATCCGACTGTACTTTGAAAGCAAAGCTGCTAGATTGCTAAGGGATGGAACATAAGAGTTTTCAGAGAAAGATAAACCCATCAAGTGACATCAAATACACTTAGTAAGAAGAAGTATGAGGAAGTTACAAGTTAGGAATGGTGAGAAATCATGACTTTGATTTGCTATACATTAGATTTCAGTTGCCTAGCAGTCATCAAAGTAGAGGGAAAAGTAATACTTCTGGAGAGAAGTATTCATAAATACCTAATTAACATTAATACTAAATTAATGAATACCTCTACACTATACATACACACACGCACACACAAATAAAACAAAACTGCATGTATGTTTATGTTTTATACACACTGAATGAAGGGAACTTCAAGAGGGAAAAAGAAGAGAAATTTGAGGACTGTATTGCACCTACTTCAGTAACATTTGAAGTTTTTGTAAAAAGAATGGATTACTTTGGTAGTAAAAAGATAGTTGTTGTTGTTTTTTCCCCAGCAAAATGACAAGCTGAAGATATATGTAATAAGCTGATGAAAAATATTAAAACCAAAAGCACAAAGTTAACAAAAGACTACATGCAGAGACTACACCCTAGACATTTACATATATACACAATGCAGTCTGGAATTTTTTTAAGTACAGTTCATTTTTGCTTGTTTGTTTTAACAGACAAGATCACATTTCACTCAAAAGAGGCAGCAAAAACCATGTTGTTTTGTTAAAAATTTAAGTCTCCCCTACTCTCCAGTTCATCAGCATCCCATCACACCCTGTCACACCCACCTCCAGTGGTCTGGGATGCTGCCTGGCTCTGAGGACAATCACACATTCTGCCCCTCCTCCTCAATTTTATAGTTGTGTTCACCCCTGTGAAAGCTTAAGTCTATCTTCAATTTCATGAATCACATATTTGTAAACTGAATCTTTAAATGGAGAAATTTATATCTAGTTCTCTACACACTTTCCTAAAGGAACATCAGACATTTTATAAAAGGTGCTTCAGCACCACCTCAAGGAATCACTGTCTGGTCACCAATAGAGTGAAGACTCTTGAATTAAAAAAAAAAGTCTCCCTTCAGTTCATTTAAGAAAAACCATTTATGAATTGGCGTGCGTGCGTGCGCGCGCGCGTGTGTGTGTGTGTGTGTATGTGTAAATGACACAAAGCCTCAGCAAAAAGGAAGCATGCAAATATCCTGAAAAGTAACAGGGGAGGGAAGGCAGGCATGCAGGAAAAAAATGGAGTGTGGCAGGTGAGCAGGATAAGAAGCAGGCAGCACGATCAGAACATCTTAGGAAGAGAGACAAATCACAGCCTCAATGGCCAGAGGAAACTCTCGATCATTATTCTAATTATAATAGGAAGTGACTGTCAATTTATAAAACAAGGACAAAATGTGTTGAGGTTTAGAGATCACCATGACTATTATATGAAGATTATAATGTAAGACGTAAATAAAAGCAGAGACTGGTAAAGTGGCTGCCACTGATTCACCCAAGAGATGACAACAGCCAACATTTCAGTTACTGGTGGTGAGAAGCATCCGGGACATATTTGTGGGTAAAATTAATAGGATTCACTGATGGAACAGGAGTCTGGTGCTGGGAGAACAAATTCTAGCCCCCGTGATCACAACGTAAGTGATTTTCACCTCACCATGGACCTTCTCAGTACTTGTCTGACTACGATAGGTAAAAATGATGCCAGCAACAATTATCAACCAATAAGGAAGTGTAAAATCTATCATAATTATCTCACTTACCCAAATTGGGATCAGTAGCCTGTCGTTTCTTAATTTTTGCCTCAGAAATAGCAGAGTAATAGGCACAAGTCATCTTGATCAGCCATGTTGCTCGAACCATTGGCACTGAATATTTAGCTAAATAAGCAAAAACATCTTCTTTTTTACTAAGGATGGGAACCTAAAAGGAAATAACATATTTGTAATAATCACATATTATGTTCATTGTTAAGCCAAACTAAAAGGGAAGCAACAGAGGCTATACATTACCTTCTAGGTATAGGAAAGGACAGTTGTGATAGCTTTTCTAACAGTATGTTCAGTTTTTTTCATTAAAGGAAACACTTTAAGCAAATTTTCTTTAAGAGAAAACAATCAGAACTATGTTTAGCACATTAGCAACACAATTTTATCAATGCTGCATTTCTTAGTTATAAAAAAAAATTTCAAATTCTCAGATGCTGAAAACTATCATTATAGCAACAAAATAATTCCATGACAGTCTTCCGAAGAGTTTCTCTCAAAATTGGAAGGGGTAGATCAAGTGAAAAAACATCCCCACTCTGCATTTTATTAAGAAACACTACTTTAGGGCCTCCCCAGTGGCGCAGCAGTTGAGTGCTGGGCTGTGGGGCTGTCTGCAGCCTCTGCAGTGCAGGTTTGATCCCAGGCCACCTGTGAGGGTCCCACATGGTACGCAGACCTCTCCTGGCACGCCCGCTGCTCCCCTCAGCATTGTTTCCTCAGTCTGCCTGTTCTGTTCCCCGCTCTGGCTCCGGTAAATTCTCTCACCCTCCCGCGCTTCTGACTGTACCCAGTGCTCATATAAATAAATAAATAAATCTTAAAAAAAAAACCCACTATTTTATATAAAGCTTTCTGTCTGTCATGTTGCAAAGGATAACAATTTACAGAAAGAATCTCAAAGTACCGTTAGTACAAAACATTAAAAAGGCTAAACTGACGTATCGGTGAATCTAACAAACTCTGAGCTGGAAAAAACTAAGTAATTAATTCACTAGTTCAAAATAGACACTTGAAGTAGTTATTTCTTCCACACCGCAAAGGTACTATTTACCAAATTAGTATCCCAATGTGCTACTGAACGGTTTGAAAGAGTTAATCCACTCTTTTAGAATGCCTCACAAATATCCTAGGGACAGCCTGCTCCCCTATATATAATCTACCCAATGTTTGAATATATAAAACAGTGGACAAAAAGTGTGTTGGCTGAGGCATCAGGATGGGAACAGTAAGAGCAAGAGGCGCACGTACCCTCACCCCAGGCACAAGTACCAGTCTGTCTGATTAATTGCATCATTCTGTAAATGAAATAAGTCAGAAATAAGTCTTTCCATAAGGGCTAGACCAGTCTGCATTCCTACCAAGGTGCTTCATTTATGGACCATGATCATACCAATCCTGGCCACTTCATTGATTGGTTAGAAAATTAAAGTAAAAGACTGACTTACCAAAACTACAAGAATTTTAATTTTGTTGACAGTTCCAAAGATTTCCCCAGGCCAAAGTGTTTTCAAGCCAAAGTTTTGACCCTCTCCTAAAAGGATCCTGGACACCGTAACAATGGACATCAGCATTCTGGTCTCTGCTCAAAAGCATATTTGTGCTTGATTTTGTGTTATAAATCAAGACGTTAAACCAGCTGATTCATGTAATATGGCATTATTCTTTTTTAATTAATTTTTAACTGAGTCAATATTGTGCTACCCCCATCAGGTATTACCACCGTAGCGCACCTACCACAAAATAACCCATATTCCCCCACCATAGTCCACTGTGCTTCCTTCCTCTTCATTCTTTCCCCTCCCTCCTCTGGACACCTCAGCTCTGTGGTCAGCTTTCAAGGGTCACTTTTTAAGCTGACTCTTAGTTTAGTTACTCTATATTCCACACGTTATTGACACCATATGGTATTTATCTTTCTCCTTCTGACTTCTTTCATTTATTTTTTTTAAAGATTTATTTATACACACAAGAACTGGGGTACAGGCCAGATGTGGGGGGGGAGTGAGAGGATTCACCAGAGACAGAGTGGGGAGCAGAACAGGCAGACTGACTGAAATACACTGCTGCAGGGAGCAGCGGGTGAGACAGGAGAGGTCTGCCGCACCATGTGGGTCACCTCCCTGGCGGGCCTGGGATTGAACTCGTGCTACAGAGGCTGCAGACAGCTTCACAGTGCTGTGCATAACCCCCTGCACCACGGGGAGGCCCTCACTTATTTCATTTAGAGTCATCCCTTGCAGCTTTAATTATGTTGCCAAAAAAGGCATGAGTTTATCTTTTTCGATGAATGCATAATATCCCATTGTGTATACATACTATAACTTCTTGATCCACTCATCTGTTTTGGAGCACTTAGGTTGCTTCCACAATTTAGCTATAGTAAATAGTGCTGCAACAGATATGCAAGTACAACGTTACTTTTGAATTAGTGTTTTCAACTTTTCAAAGTAGATGCCTAGGAGTGGATCTGGATCACATGGCAGATCTATTTTAATGCTGTGAAACACCTCCACACTCCTTTCCGTAAGGGCTGGACGAGTCTGCATTCCCACCACTAGTGAAGGAGGGTCCCTTTTCTCCCCATCCTCAATAGCACTTGTTTTTTTTTCTGATCTTTTCAACATGGGTCATTCTCACAGTATGAGATGGTATCTCATTGTGGTCTTGATTTGTATTACCTTGAGGGTAAGTACTGGTGACCATCTTTTCACAGGTGCAGGTATGCAGTCTGTATGCCTTCTTTGCTGAATTGTCCATTTAGTTTCCACCCATTTATTGGGTTATTTTGTTTTGTAGACTTTTATAAAAGAGATCTTTGATATCACTGATAGCAATCCCTTGTCAGATATATGGTATGCAAATATTTTCTCCTATTCAGTAGGGTATTTTTTCATTTTAGTTATGGTGTCTTTCCCTGTGCAGAAGCTTTTTAGCTTGATGCAGACCCAGTTGTTAATGCTGTCTTTTGTTTTCCTTGCTATTGAGGAATGCATCCCTAAAGACACCACTAAAGCTTATGCAATGAAATGGTTTGCCTATGCTTTCTTCTATGTATATTGTGGTTCAGATCTTACATCCAATCTTTGATCCAGTCTGAACTGACTTTTGTGTATTGTGTGAAACAGTAGTGTAGTTTCATTATTTTGCATGCAACTGTCCAGTTTTCCCAACAGCATTTATTAAAGAAACTATCCTTGTTCCAGTGTATGTTCTTGGCTCCTTTGTCATAGATTAACTGTCCATATAAATGTGAGTTTATTACTCAGCTCTCAATTCTATTCCATTAATCTGTGTGTCTGTTTTTGTTCTATTATCAGGCTGTTTTAATTATTATGGCTTTGTAATATATTTTGAGACCAGGAAGTCCAATACCTTTATTCTTTCTTTTTGTCAGAATTGCTTTTGCTATTTGCGATGCTATTGCTTTTGCTATTTTGTGATTTCATATGAATTTCAGTAGTGTTTGTTTCAGTTCTTTGAAAAATGCCATTGATATATTTAATGTAACTACACTGATTCTGTATACTGGTTTGGGTAGGACAGTCACTTTGAAAATATTCATTCTTCCAAACCATCAGCAGGAAATAGTTTTTCATTTTTTTGTGTCGTCTTCTATTTCTTTCAGCAATGCCTTAGAGTTTTCTTTGTATAGATCTTTACCTCCATTGTTAGGTTTACTCCTAGTTACTTCATTTTTTATGTTGTGATTACAAATGGGATAACATTCTTAATTTTTTTTCTGCTTCTTTCTCATTTTTTGAGAAAGGCAATTCATCAGAAGGCAACTAATTATTATGTGTTGATTTTATACACTGCCACTTTGCTAAACTGTTTCATTTAGTTTTTCTGTGGAATACTGAGGGTTCTCTATGTATATTATCATGTCATCTACAAATAAAGATAGCTTTACTACTTTCTTCCCAATTTGGATTTATTTTATATATTTCTCTTACCTAATTGCTCTAGCAAAGATTTCCAGTACTATGCTAAGTAGCAATAATGACAGTGGACATCCTTGTCTTGTACCAGATCTTTTTTTTTTTTTTTTTTTTTTTTTTAAAGTATTCTCAGTGTATTCTGTTTTTTATTTTATGTTTTCCCTTTTTTAATACACCATATTTGTTCATTATTTATAAAGAGCAACTATTCTTTTTTATTTTATTTTATTTTTTTTTCTTTTTTTTTATAGAGGCATGTTTTATTTATTTATTTGTTTGTTTGTTCGTTTCTTTTGTTTATACATGCACTGGGGACAGTCAGAAGCGCGGGAGGGTGAGAGAATTCACCAGAGCCAGAGCGGGGAGCAGAGCAGGCAGAAGGACCGAAGTACACTGCTGAGGGGAGCAGCGGGCGGCAGGAGAGGTCTGCACACCATGTGGGACCCTCCTGCACCATGTGGGACCCTCCTCCACCATGTGGGACCCTCCTCCGGTGGCCGGGGAGCAGCCGGGAATCGAACCGGCGCTGCAGAGGCTGCGGGCAGCTTCGCAACCCAGCGCTCAACCGCTGCGCCACCGGGGAGGCCCTCTTGTACCAGATCTTAGTGGAAAAGCTTTTAGTACTTCACCATTGAGAATGACATTAGCTGTGGGTTTGTTGTAAATGGCTTTTATTATGTTAAGGTATGTTCCATATATCTCCATTTTTTTAAGAGTTTTCATTATAAATGGATGGTGGATCTTATCAAAAGTTTTTACCAGCATGTACTGATATGTATGATCAAATGGTTTTTCTTTATGTTGATGTGGTAGATTAGTCAACTGAGTTCCAGGTGTTAAACCACTCTTGTGTTCCTGGCATGACTCCCACTTGGTCATGGCGTATGATCCTTTTAATGCATTGTTGGATTCGGTTTGCTAGGATTTTATTAATGATTTTTGCATCTGTGTTCATTAAGGAAATTGGTCTGTGTATTGTCTTTTTTTGGTTTTGATATTTTCATATTTTGGTTGGCCTCAAAAATTGTATTTGCAAGTATTCCTTCTTTTTCAACTTTCTGGATGTGCAAGACAGGTATATTAGTTCATCGTTAAGGGTTTGACAGAATTCACTTTTGAAGCCATCTGACTTGTTTTTTTGGAAGAGTTTAGATTAGTGTTCCAATTTCCTTGCTGGTGATAGGTTTGTTCAGGATACGTTAGTGTACAGATGTTC